ATGGATTGATGGATGATGGATGGATGGATGTATGATGGATGGATGGATGATGGATGGATGGATGGATGATGGATGGATGGATGATGGATGGATGGATGGATGGATGGATGGATGGATGGATGGATGGATGGATGGACGGATGATGGATGGATGGATGGATGGATGGATGGATGGACGGATGATGGATGGATGGATGGATGGATGATGGATGGATGGAAACTGCTTTTTTAACTGTTTGTAAAACATTTTTTGATGAAATGCCTTTTTTGTTTGAATAAAACTGACTTTCAGAAGTTGCTGCCCTGTGTCGTCTTTAATAGTCCATCTGTGGTAAATCTGTTGATTAATGCTGCAGTTTCTGTATCTGAAGACTGGCTCACAGCATGCAAACTGGCCCACACTAGCTCCATCAGCACAGCTCCTGAAATGATCCAATCAAATGGTTAAAGCAGATTTACAGAACACCAGTGGACCTCAGTAGGTAAAACAGGGAGATACCTGATGTTTGTCCAAAATGTACAGAGGACAGAGGAACTCTGTTCTCTGCTAGTGTAGGAAAATTATACTGTTTTGGAAAGAAGTAAAAGATGTAACTGAGAAAATAATTTGATCCGAAGCTGTTTGTGTTTGGACTATGCCCAGAAAAACATAATTATACTAAAAATGAACGAACATTTATAAACTTGAGTTTGCTCAATGTAAAAAGATGTATATCTTTGTTGTGGAAAAAGACTCATGGAGCGACTGTAAACCAATGGCTGCAGCAGATGTTATCTGCCCCCCCTCTGGAAAAGATTTCACATGTCTTAAAGAGCAAACAGGATTTGTTTGAGTTCATCTGGAACCCTTCATCATGTCTGTGAAGGACCTGGACGTCTCAGATGAAAGGACAAATGACTGAAGAACAAGTTAACTGCAGTTTCCAAAGACAACTCTATTAGAGGACATGAACTGTTGAATTGAATATCTCAGGATATACATGACATGTAGAATATGTGATGGGTTGCAAAGAATCAAGTTTATGACAGGCTTTTGTTGTTGGTTTTTTTGTGTGTTTTGTTTATTTTTGTTTTGACTTGAACTGTACTATTACAACTGTTGTCATACTTTGCAAAATGTTCAAGGTCTTTGTTTTAATCATCTAACTGTAAAACAGGAAGCTTTCACTTGTTTTCTTTGATAAAGGCCCAGAAAACCTCTGACTTCCTGACCTGCTCAGCTCACCTCAACCTCCTGGAAGTCCTCGTCATCGATGTCGTACGACAGCGTGGGAATCTTTGTGTCTTCTCCTGAGAACTCCAGGAACTTCCCATCAGCAAACAGCAGCACCTCCTTGGTGGAGGAGGAGAAGACGTCTGGGCCGTGCCCCTCGATGAAGGTGGTCTCGCAACAATCCCCTCCTCCGGCCTCCCCCCACACCTGCAGGATGCTGTCAGGGCACAGGAGGAGGCCCGGCCCAGGTCTCAGGGGGGGTTCTGGTCTCACGTGATGAGGGAGGAGGGTCCTGGAGTTCAGGAGCTGAGGAGGAGTCCTGCTGTGGAACAGGTGGGCCTCCTGAGGGTCTGAGCCCAGCCGCTGGGTGTTGATGAGGCTGTTTGTTCTGCAGGAGTCTCGTCCTCCTGCTCCTCCTCTCAGTGAGGAGGTGTCAGTCTCCTCCTCTGCTCCTCCCTGCATGTCTCTCCTCAGAAGTGCTCCCTGCTCAGGTCAGAGGTCAGGAGAGAGGCCTGGACTCTCCTGAAACACAGAATAAACACAAAGGTCCTCATGGAGGAACTGTTGGTACCAACATTTGTTCTTCATCTGTGTGTGAGAGGTTCTGGAGAACTTCTGTTTTTACCATGAGTGGTCCACACCTGTACTGTATTTTACCATGAGTGGTCCACACCTGTACTTTATTTTACCATGAGTGGTCCACACCTGTACTGTATTTTACCATGAGTGGTCCACACCTGTACTTTATTTTACCATGAGTGGTCCACACCTGTACTGTATTTTACCATGAGTGGTCCACACCTGTACTTTATTTTACCATGAGTGGTC